ACTGTTTCTATATCTATAATCTCCAATTCAGAACTCTTTCCAGGGTTCCAGATCCATATTTGCAATCATCCATTGAACATTTTCACTTGTATCTCCCACAGGTAACTAACCTTAGTAACTAAAACCTAATTACACATCTTATTTCTCTATTCCTAAATCTGTAATCTAAGGAGCCCTGGTGGCACAGTGGTTAAGTGCTTGGCTGCTAACCTAAAAGGTCAGCAGTTCAAATCCACCAGCCGTTCCACGGGAGAAAGATCTACTCTGTCCTATAGGCTTGCTACGAGTCAGAATCGGCTTGACGGCAATGTGTCTGGTTTGAGTTTGGAAATCTGTAACTTCTTCATTCTTAGTTTCTGATATCAGCACCACCATCAAACCAATCACCCATTCCAGATATCCGAGTATCATCCTAGAGTTTATGCTACTTCCCTTAATTTACCCAACTCCTCCTAATCTTAGCCCAAGTATTGGCACATATTGGGCTTATGACCTGATCCCCCCACCCCCAAATGAGTTACGTGCCTCTTCTGTGTTCACATATATCCTACACAGATTTCTACTGTAGCACTATTATACTGTGGTAACTAGTGATCTTGTTTTCTGTCTTCCTCATTTATTAGAGTTCCTCAAAGACATAAATTAGGTTTTGTTTATTTCAGTATTCACTATTCACAAAACTTCAGCAATGTGCAGAAACTGAAGAGCAAATCTTCAAAATTCATATGGAACTACAAGGGGTACCAAATAGACAAACAATATTGGGAAACAAAACTGGTCACACTTCCTGATTTTAAAACTCAATACAAACCTACAATAATCAAAACAGTGTAGTACTGGTATAAAAAGAGACATGCAGACCAATAGAAAAAAATTGAGAGCTCAGAAATAAACCCAAACATCTATGGCCAACTGATTTTCAATCAGGGAGCCAAGACCATTCAGTGGAGAAAGGACACCTTCTTCAACACTGATGCTGGGATAACTCGATAACCACATACAAAAGAATAAAGTTAGATCCTTACATTAACTCCACAAACAAACATTAACTCAAAATGGATCAACAACCTAAATATAAGAGCCAAAACTATAAAACTCCTCGAAGGAAACATAAGGGGGTAAATCTTCATGACCTTGGATTTGGCAATGGATTCTTACATCTGTTAACAAAAGCATGAACAACAAAAGAAAAAAAAATAAACTGGACTTCACAAAAATTAAAAACTTCTGTGCATCAAAAGACATTAACAATAATGTGAAAAGACAACCTAGAAAATATTTTCAAATCACATATCTGATAAGGGCTTAATACCCAGAATATATAAAGAACTTTTATAGCCAATAACAAAAAGACTAACAACCCTATTGAAAAATGGGCAAAGGATTTGGATAGACATTTCTCCAAAGAAGATATCAAATGGCCAATAAGCACATGAAAAGATGTTCAGTATCAATGGTCACTGAGGAAACTCAAATCAAAACCACAATGAGATACCACTTTACACTTAAACTAGAATGGCTATAATTAAAACCAAACAAACAGAAAAGCACAAGTGTCAGCAGGGATGTGGAACAATTAGAACCTCTGTACACTGCTAGTGGAAATGTAAGATGGTGCTGCCACTGTGGAAAACAGTTTGGTGGTTCTTTAAAAAGTTAAACAGACTTAACACATGACCCCGCAATTCTATTCCTAGGTATATACCCAAGAGAAATAAAAATACATGTTAACACCTAAACTTGTACACAAATGTTTATAGCAGCATTATCCTAACAGCAAAAGGTGGAAACAACCCAAAATCTACCAATGGATGAATGAATAAACAAATTGTGGTACATACAATTATTATCCAGTCATAAATAGAAATGAAGTTCTGATACATGCTACAACATGGATGAACCTTGAACACATGCTAAGTGAAAGAAGCCAGATACAAAATGTTACAAACTATATGATTCCTTTTATATGATATATCCAGAACAGGCAAACCCATAGAGAGACAGTAGTGGTTATCAGAGAATGGGGGGTGGGAAAAGATGAGGAGTGACTACTTAATGGGTATGGAGTGTTTTTCTGGAGTGATAAAAAAGTTTTGAAAGTAGAGAGAGGTGGTGGTTACACAGCATTATGAATACACTAAATGCCACTGAGCCATATGCTTTAAAATGGTTAATTGTACATTTAACTAAAAAAACAACAACCCTCATCAAGGGCCCAGTACATAGTAGATAAGAAATGTTTCTCAAATAAATATATTTTGAGCTTAATATATAAGGATGTATAGTATTCATTTTTTTTCTTCTACCATTCTTGAGTACTTGACAGACCACCAATTTTAAAAAATACATATGTAAAAAATATTTCCTTTTCCTTTTCTTGGGAAAACTTCTGGTATAATCAAAGGCTTCTTCCATGGCAGATTTTTTTCTTTCAGTTGCCATGGAGATAATTGACTCATGGCAATCCCATGCGTGTCACAGTAGAACTGTGCTCCATAGGGATTTCACTAGATGATTTTTCAGAAGCAGATCACCAGGCCTTTCTTCAGAGGCAACTCTGGGTGAACTCGAACCTCCAATCTTTCAGTTAGCAGCTGAGCACATTAACCATTTGCACCACCCAGTGACCTTCCATGGCTGATAAAGGTTTAAATAAGAAGAATCTTCACTTGCTTACCACTGACCAGTGTAGGGAGATGACTTCAACAAATTTCTTTTCTGCATTACCCTAAGAATATCTCAATACTCCTCTTCCTTAATTGTGTTTCCTAACTTTCGTAACAGTACTGAAAAAAAAAAAAAAAAACCCGTTGCCATCGAGTTGATTCCGACTCATAGTGACCCTAGAGGACAGAGTAGAACTGCCCCACAGGGTTTCCAAGGATAGGCTGGTGAATTAGAACTGACAAGCTTTTGGTTAGCAGCCATAGCTCTTTCACACTGCGCCACCAGCACAGTATAGTATTGTCAAAGTGTCTTAATTAACCTAACAGAAAAATAAGAAGTATCAAAGCTGTTTTTGTTTTTAAGAAAAGTGATTCTACCTTAAACCTGAACTGGAAAGGAAAAGAAATCCAAATTGTAAACTTCATTTCAATAATTTTAGAAAGCTCTCTGTCACATCATGCTCCTGTTTCTTCTTTCTACCTCTAAAGGAGACTTTAAAGTCTATAACTGAGTGCTGTCTACCTATATAACTGGAATTTGAGACATAAAAGAGAAAACGGTGCAGATAGAGATGGGGGACCTCATACCACCAAGAAAGCAGTGCCAGAAGCAGAGCTTGTCCTTTGGACCTGAGGTCCCTGCACTGGGACATTCCTAGACCAGGGGAAGACTGATGGCAAGGACATTCCTCCAGGGCCAACAGACAGAGAAAGCTTTCCCCTGGAGCTGGTGCCCTTAATTCGGACTTCTAGCCTCCTCAACTATGAGAGAATAAATTGCTGTTTATTAAAGCCATCCACTTGTGGTATTTCTGTTACAGCAGCACTAGATAAGTAAGACATGCGGGAACCAACGTAAGGTCCCCACTTTTAACTGTCTGGGCAGGAATGAGTTAACAACGCAGGCCTTAGGCTGCTATCTTTAGGAAGGCATGTTTGCAAGGTTGGCTCTTGGCTGCCATCTGGGAACTTGGCTTTTGAAACATTTCCTAAGTGATAAAGTTGTTATGCCATGCCAGCATACTTAGACTGTACAATAAGATTTATGGTAAATACCTGTTTTCCTTCTGAGTGTGGAATTTTGGTTGACAGAGGGTGCCTATATGACTAGCCCTCAATGAAAACCCTGAACTCTGAGTCTCAAATGGACTTCACTGGGTAGGCACATTGACTGAATTTTTTGAGGGAGAGTGTACTCTGTATAATCCCTCACAGGAGGAATAGAACATAGGAAGCCTGCACATGGATTCCTCTAGACTCTGCCTGAGGTCTTTTACCATTAATGATATGGCTGTGCATCCTTACTGTATCACTGTAATCTTACCCATGAATAGAACTCTACACTGAGTCCCATGAGTCCTTCTACAAATTACGGAATGTGTGGGTGATCTTGGGGATCCCTGAAACATTGCCAAGTAATGATATTAAACAAGTAAACCAAAAACCCTATTATTATTTCATAAAAGGACATTTTATAACATTCTGCCCTTTATTCTGATACTATGGAAATATATGGAAACAAAGTATCAGAATCAAGAATACAATTTTAAATTGAACAAATCTAACATGAAAAGTTTATTACATTATCCTTATTTTTCTCATTTTGCTGCATATCAGTGAAAACTTCATCATACAACATGGACTAGTAACAGACACACGCTTGGGAACCACTAGGCTAAGACCTTTTTTCCTAAATATGCCTTTCTTACAACTTACTTTCTTTTGAAACTGAAAAGTACTAAACAAAAATTTATATGTACAGGGATAATTTTTAAAAGTTGACACTTTTGATAAGTCAACAAAGATTTCACTTCAATAGACTATTTATTTTTATTTTTAACTGCCAGAGTAAAAAAAATGGAAGGTTATTATTCATTAATAACACATTTAGTTCCAGGGTATCTTAGGATTTGTAGTCTTCCTGCCAGCCAAATAACATTGTTAAAAAACAAAACAACAAACAAAAAAACTCCAAACAAATAAACCAGCTCAGACAGTGATACTTCTTTCAGTTTGTCAAAAACTGTTTTTAAATTTATTTCATCTATAATTATATACAAAGTAAGCCCTGATATTTCAAAATTATTTATGGAATATAACATTCTTCATCTTTCCTAAATATAATTACTTTAAAATGAACCCATCAACTCTTCCCACAGATTACAATGTTTTTTAAAAAGACACCAAATAAAAACCTCAAATTTCACACATTAATATAACTTTGTGTGTTTCAGTTCTTCAAGGCAGTTCTAACAATACAAAATTTTGACTTGTAAAAAACTGAAATTCCACTGACCATCATAAAGAACAACTTTCAAAATCAGAACCACAAACCTTTTGCTGTAGTTCTTTTACTGCAGAATCTCTATCCATGCATGCCTGTCGGAAGGCTTCATAAGCTTTATTGAGTTGTTCGCCAATGTTTTTATCCATTCCTCTGTGTCCTGTAGCATCACTATAAAGGATGGAGTATATGACAGGTCTGGAAAATAATCAGAACAATTTAGATAGCTCTTTAATTACATAAACCTCCTCTGAAGAATGCACTTTAAGACAGTCTTATAAAGTCCCTGGGTGGCACAAATGGTTTGCAGTCAACTACTAACCTAAAGGTTGGCGGTTTGAACCTACTCAGCAGCACCATGGAAGACCTGGTGATTTGCTTCCATTAAGATTACAGTCAAGAAAACCCTATGGAGCAGTTCTACTCGGTAATGCATGAGTCAGAACCAACTCAATAGCGATGTTTTTTTTTTCAAATAAAGGTTTACCATGAACGATGGAAAAGCTCGATATCATTAGTCAGAACAAGGCCAGGGGCTGACTATGGAACAGACCATCAATTGCTCATATGCAGGTTCAAGTTGAAACTGAAGAAAATTAGAACAAGTCCACGA